CACACTGGTTTGTAGTGCAAACAGTTTTACCATTTACTGCTCGTTGTTATTCTTCTCGTTATTTCCCTACAGCAGCTAATGAACCGGAAGTCTCGCACATTCACAGAAAACAGCTTACTTCCGCATTGAAAAATAAGGTGGATACACATATTATATTTAATAATATATATATATATATATTACTAATACTAAAGATCACTTTCAGTTGTTACAGATTGAAAACATTATTTTATAAAATAAAAAACAAACAAACATAAAATGAAATAAAAGCCTGATGGTTATCGATATAGATATGGCTTATATCTAGGACAACAAAATTTTTAAATAACATTTTTAACAACTGAAAGGGTTTTTGTTCTTACTTTTCTATTGCGTACTGCAAGTTCATCTTTTGTTTTCATTAGTTCCTTTTTATGTTTTACTAATAACACTAAAAATAATGTAAAATCATTTACAAAGAAGTCAAATCAGTTAAGCTACGTACAGTAGATGTACATTTTAAGAATTACAAAGCCACAAATACAGAAAAACAGACAAATATATTATTTAAGAGATAAATGCAACTGCAGCGAGTGGAAATTAAAAAAAGAGCGGCCTGTAAAAAAAGCAAGAGGAAAAAGATGAGTAGATGTTTTTTTGGAGATTCTGGTCTGTGTTTCAGAGTGGTTCATATACTGCCCACAGCAACGCACAAGCTCCTCTCACATCACTATATTCACACTCAATGCCCTTTAACCCTGACCAGCAAAAACACAAAATGCAGTTATGCGCCTGAAGAGAGAGAAAAATAAGAGCGTGCAAGAGAGAGAAATTATGAGGTTAGTGTGAAAAGCCACTTGATCTGTGTGATCTCTCATCATCATTTTCAGCTCTAACACCCCATTAAACGCCACGTCACCCAACCGCCATCTTGATGCTAGGGATTCATTATATCATTGAGGTCAAATACATTATGCATTTTCTGAACAGGCCAATTACTAAAGCTGATTATGCGTTAAATGAGGATCCTACATTCACAATGGTCCTCCACCTTTTCAGCCTCGGTGATTTCTCATCTGAAGATAAACAACAAACATCACCGCGTGGTGATGTTTGTTGTTTATCTTCAGATGAGAAATCACCGAGGCTGAAAAGGTGAAAATTAGGGCACAGGCAGTTTGTGCTGTAAAACCTCTTATAACTGCATTTGTAGACGTCTGTAGAGGCTTTCTGCAGTATCCCATGACATTTCATGTTGTTTTAGGTTATGTAATCAGAAGTTGAGCAGAAAGTCCCTGTAACCACATCCCCATCAAGATTCAGGCTCAAATCTTCAGATTTTCTTTATGAACTGCATCCTGGATATGTGATTATTCTTGCTGATAACACAAACTTTCTGAAATGTTTCTAAAACAGAACACGCTTCCTTTGAGTAAAACAATCACTTACAAAACAGTGTTATCAGCATCCACAAATACTAAAAATGCATGCAAAAATCATGAACTTTTCCTGAATTAAAAACCAAGGCTCGAAATTGCGGCCATTTTAGTCGCATATGCTCCCTAAATTTAATGTGTGCGACCTCAAAATATATTTGGGAGCATTTGTGTGAGTGCAAATAATTGTTGAGGTGCGACCTGTTTTCATTACTCTAGAAAACGTAGGCTAATTACTGCAAAGTAAGTGCTTGCTGTTAGCTCATACAGTGACCGGTCCACCGTTCTATCACATAATCAATTAAACTTCATCTTTATGTTCTTATGTTTAAAGCAGATTTTAGGTTGATTAATATTAACGTCAATCACTCCCTTTTACTGCGCTCCGTTGTCACGTGACAGGGATCTAACTAGCGCGGAAAATGTAAAGAGATGAAGAGAGAAGATGAAAAGAACACTGACACAGGGCTCGACATTAACACTTGAGTTATTATATTTATAACATATGATACAGTTAAGTAACATTACACGACCAAGAATGCCGTTTTGCCGAATATCCTGAATAAAACCATCACGATTGAAAATGTGACAGTGATTTCATACAACAGTTCAGTAAACTGTAAAAAGTAGTTTTACATTTAAATTTACATTTTAGACGCAATATTATCTGTTTTTGTTCTGTTTCAGCAGCGAAAATAGTTCCAAACAAAGATCACAGCAGAACTATGGCACATTTCAGGAGAACACAATCCTGTTTTCATTACTGAATGATTCAGCGTTTTGAACGAATTGGTTGAGTCAAAGATTCAATGACCCATTCATAAACAGCTGCCTCTTTCTTGAATAAATCATCCGTTTGAACGAATCCTTTGAATGAATGACTTAATGACTCACTCATTAAGACGGCCAGACGGTCACTTGCCGCCACCTACTGGTGGTTTAGTTTCATGTTTAAAAGTATCATTAAAAATATCATTCTTTCCAACATTTATTATTTGAAAAAAATAAAACATATATACAACATATACAAATATAATAATTTAAAATAATAGATGAAGCACACATTTAATAAGATTAGAGTAAAAATGGCATTTATAAAAGTAAAAAAAAAATGCCCTGGGGTAATTATCACAAATATGCAGATTTAAATGTCAAAGCTGATAGAACACCAATGAGAATATTGCTTTAGAATAAATTATATTTACAACACAAAAATCCTATGTATTCCGGAAAAGCGACTTTTACTCGGAAAAGTGAATGACAAGGCTTAATTTCGAGCCCTATATACAGTATATATATATATATATATATATATATACTGTATATATACACATATATATACACATTTTCGTTGTGGTGCTCCTAAATTTTTGCTGGTGCTCCTAACTTTTTGAAGTTGGGAGCACCAGTGCTACCAAGTAAAAAAGTTAATTTCAAACCCTGAAAACTAATGTAAACTGAAAAACAAACTACACTAAAATACTAATACTAAAATACTAAACAATAAAATGTCATGACATATATTATAAAACATATATACAAATTAATTTTATATTTAGTTTTTGATTAAGAATATATTGTCCGCATACGTATAATATATTGTCATATTTAAAATTGCGTTATAACATGCCTTCACTAGACAGCCCTGAAAAATGTAATGATACACTTAGCACTTTAACTTTGGCAGCACAAAAATACAGAAACAAAACCAAATCAAAATGAACTAAAACTATAACACATACAGATCAGACACGGCAGATAAGAGTGAAAGAGTGCATTCAAGTTGACAGGAAGTGTAAACCAGCATACACAGGAAGTGAAAGGGAGAAGACAGTGAAAGTGGGGCTCAGGAATATTCTAAAAGAGCAGATAAGCATTTGCACATTTGCTGGTGGCTCTTCCTTCCCGTCGGGATCCATATTTAGATCCAGACAGTTACTGGGTGAGCGCTGTAAAGATCCCCTAGGTTGCCATCTGCTGTCATTGCTGTTTATTTCTATCCTGGACAGACCCTTTCTAACCAAACGACATTCTATATTCTCTCTTCAGAGTATCTAGGTTGCTTCATATAATCAAAAGGATTTGGAAAGCAAATGGCTTTGAGCAGGCGTCTGATCTTTTACTAAAAGATATAATGGGAAACATGGCATATATTTAAATACACTGCTTATCACCTGCTCACTGGCTCAACTGAGTGTGTGTGTGTGTGTGTGTGTGTGTGTGTGTGTTTGTGTTTGTGTGTGTGTGTGCAACCCACCCAAATGAAGAGCATGGCTAGTCATGCACTCACTATGAGTTAGAGTGCACTAAATATCTCCATCTTAAACCTATGTTTTAGCATGCAAATGTATACAAATTGGATCTAAATCAATTGAAACATTTAGATTTAAATTTTAATTCTTGAAACTTAATGCTGCATTGAGCATTTTCTGCACCACTAGAGTCATTCACATTTACATTTATGCATTTAGTCATCAAATAGAATTGTAAGAATAATGACTGTTTTCAAACAAGTTTCCCAAACCTACTGATTGGTTAACGCACACATGCCATGATTCATTTGTCCCAGAAATTAATTTCTCAGGACACCCATGTAAGTGATATTGGTTAAGTAGTAGTGCCATTTTATGCATTATATTTAAAAATAAATTAATTAATTAAAAAAAAAATCTAAATTAAAAAAAAAAAATTTAAGAAAAGAAAAAAGTAAAACAAAAAAAATGAATGAAAATAAAAGAAATGCAAAATAAAAGAAAGAAAGTATATAAAATAAATACACATAAATAAATGAATCAATCAATCAATCAATCAATCAATAAGACAAAAATCAGCAGAATGTCCCTGTAACCACATCCTTAAATCTTCAGGACAATATTTTATGAATCAACATGACAGACGGGTAGTATAGAAAGCTAAAAACTACATGTGTAAAACATATAGGACAATTAAGGAAATCTCTATGAAATTTCTTCTATGAAAACAGTCATTTCTATGGCATCATCGCTGATGGTTGCACAGTGTTGACAATCCAGTCAGTGTGCCAAGCGAGATGCTGATATCAGCAGACACTGGGTTCAAATTGGATCACAAATGCTGGAAGATATTATGGGTCCAGTATGAAGCATTACATAAAACTACTTAGGGGAACCATCACCTCATTCGAACTCTCTGCTTCTGCTTTTCCGGCTTTCATTTCTTTTTCTTTTTAAGATGATTCTAAGAAGGGATCTTAAGTAAGCATTCAGTGCTTCCATTATTGGCACGCCTCCTTAAAGGGCCAGTCACACAATTAATGTTTAATACAAAATTAAACATAAATTTATATCAAATTTATTAGTTGGTGCCGTGTGCATGCTTAAAAAAGGGATGCAAGTATATATATAACCATATAACAATTTTTGTAGATGAAACTGGCACATAAAGCATTGAAAACAGATATGATTAAACTTCACTACACTAAAATAGGGACAAACCCAGCAATTGGGCTGTTTTGACCCAGCGGTTGGGTTACTACCCAGAAGGTTGGGTTAAACATTTAACCCAACCGCTGGGTCAAAACAGCCCAATTGCTGGGTTTGTCCCTATTTTACCCAGCACTGGGTTGTATTTAACCCAGCATTTTTTAGAGTGTACTGTAAATTAAAATGGGAAAAAAGAAATGCAAAGTTTTGCAAACAATTAGATCTTTGATTAGCTAGTTTAGATGTCTGGAGACAAAAAGTGATGGTTACAGGGTATCTGCATATTTAAGAGAATGAAATTAAAGACCTTTAAGTCTCTAAATACTTCAAATGCAAACTTATATTCAGATGCAGATGAATGGTCAGAGCAAAGGTCGGTTTTATGCTCTATAGCTTCAAGCATCACATCAACCTGATCATTTCCACCAGATATCCTCAAAAGGTTAAATCTAATGTTTTGTGTAGGAGTAAAGCCTGAGATCGGAGGATGGCACACGATTGCAACTTACTGGTTATATGTTTCTGCCGTACATGACTAGCTGTGTTGGTAACTTGGAAACGAAACAGGACCAGATTCTATTTGCCAGTGCTGCCTCTGCTTGTCCTGTTTCATACGGGGTTAATAACTGCAGTTAATCCCACTGATTAAAAACTAAAATAATTTACAGCAACTTTACAATAACTTCTCCAATTTCGTTCTCTTAAAAACATGGAAACGCTGCTGCTACTCTTTTTATTGCTGTGTAACTATTATTGGAGTACTTCGGAATAACCCATAAACGGTGCATGAAACAGCATCTAAAATGTTCTCAAAGGCTGCTAAATTAATCATGAACTTTTAAGTTTAAACCTTTAAGTGTCTAAAGTGTTGCATTGTTTTAAACCATGCATCCTGTGTGAGGCAAGTGTAGTGTTAAAGTCTCAGTTATGTGTGAACAATATGCTTAGCATAAATGCATTAGAGACACCTCCAATCTAGAATGAAGTGACTCAAACTTCTCGCCTGGCTAAACTTGACAACCACGACAAAACTCTTGCAAGTGTAACAGAACCGTCCTGAACCTTGCTGCCCATTTGCACTAATACAAAAATGGCTTCAAATTAACCTAGACCCAAACAACATCAACAAAACACCAAAACGCCACCTTCAATGGATTGAATTAAATATTCTGCTCGCACATCATCTTAGCTATGACCAGTAGTAACCTAAAACTTGAGATGTACCTTGAGTTATTAAATATAATTTGGTAATTCTTCTACAAGACACTTGGTGAAGGAGAACACATGTATAAAAGGAAAAGAGTAAGAAATCTGTTGAGTTATTTGGGCTAAGCTACTTCAAGGTTTTGACTTCAAAAAGAGCTTGTTCAACTTACACTGGGGTCCATGTTTGGGTGAGACCTCTGGGTACGTGTTTTACTCATCATTAAGCATTCAAATCATGCAAACTATATTTTAATTTGAAGTAACTTAAAGCAAACCATACATCTCCAGCCAACACGAGATGGAAACCTTTCTGTTAAAATCGAACACGTAGACACCATCAGAATAGTGATGACCTGACAGTTAAGCTCGAAATGTTGTAGTTTTGAGATGAATGGGCCAACCTTTCACGCTCAGAGAAAAACCACAATGCAAAGGAAGTGAATTTGACTCTATCTTATGTTTACCAAAGCAAATCAGCAGCTTAGACAGGATGAGAGAGACTAGCTATACCTACTAAGTTTAACCACAAGACATTCTACCCAGATTCACATAAAGATGCAAACCGTGAACCAGGTGTGGGACGAATCTTGTTCAAGGGAAGAAAAATATCTTCAAAATCAGCCTAAAGGAACATTTGGGATGTACTACAGAACGTCTGAGATCCTCGAATCTAAAGCAGAACACTAATAGAACTGCGTAGTAACAACAGATTATTAACTAGTACTAGTAAGAGAGAGTGAGTTCTTCTTACGTGGCATGATCCCTTGGTTAACCAGTTCTTCTCGAGTCCGTCTCTGCTGAAGTTTGAGTTGGAGCACTAGAAGAAAACAAGAAATCAAGTCAAAGATGAAGACATATAGTCAATTATCAAGGATGAAAATTTGGCAAAACGACTAATTTAACTCTGACTGGACAACAGGTTAACAAATACTCATTCTTGGGACATAATGTTGCACTGTTACACAACGATAGATCGTTTGGTTGGTTGAATGACAGATATAGATTCAGTAGAGCAACATCAACTGTGCACAAATACAAAACCATACATATATATATATATACACACACACAAAATGAAACCTTTTATAGAGTTCACTAGGACTGTGCAATATATCGAAATTATCGAAATATCGCAAATGTACATATCGCAATATGCATATCGCTACAGCTTGCAATATTTGGGGCCATGAACAAAAGACAAAGAGAAAATCACTCACTGCTCTTACTCAAAGAGTAAATACGAAGCAGTGTTTTATTTTTGCTTTTTATTATTCAGTTCCTAAACTCATGTTAAAATGACATTTTTATGTAATGCTCGAGTAAAACACATACCGTTCACTTTCATAAGTTGTTGTTGGGGTGCTTTCTTATTAGAATCAGAATCAGAATGAGCTTTATTCACCACTTAAGTGTGCGCAAACACAAGGAATTTGTTGTGGTTTTACAGGAACTCTTGCTACATACGTACATACAAATAACCATATATATATATGACACAAGATAGTTATAGAAGTTCACAGAACTGACTCAGCAACAGCTGAGTAAAACGGTTTCATCTGAGCATGTGGCACTTTAAGCATTATCGTATCGCATATCGAATATCGCATTATTTAATGAGTTATCGCATTTTTCTTCAATATCGCACAGCCCTAGTTCAAACCCAGTAAAAAAGATACGAGTGCTAGTATGATGCTAACAGACGAGTCTTGTGCAATGAAAACACATTAATCTCTCAAAACAGAAACACATCTGAAAGTTATTGTGCCTCAATATTTGCCTGTTCTGGAGACAGCATGCTAAACTTAAGGAAATACAGCATGACAGAAGACACATAAGTTGATAAAATACCCGGCGAGCAGCTCGATCAGTCTCCTTCATTCTCCCCTCGAACAAGCTCTTCCTGACAGCCGGCAGAGAGCTTATCAGTCAGAGAGGAGAGAGTACAGACTACAACACACTTCCTCTTCCTGTTTCTGCATTCAATTTAAAACAGAAGTGTGCGAGATGTTTCCACGGCTTACCACAGTAAGAAAGACTGTCAAATCTATTAAATTGCCTCGAATGTGTGCTTAAATCTAAATTAGTGATTAAATCAAGAAACATGTATAATAAGATCCACATCTACCGTGAAAAATATAATAGTAGCAGCTAGAGGTTTGGACATTTATACTACTTCAAGCAAACAGCTTTACAGGTTATCTGGGGTTGGACTAAACCTCAAAGATAAAGTCACAACAACATGTTTGCTGGATCAAGTGATTTACCAGTAAAGCCACAAGAGATGAGGTAAAATAAATGACAGCACAAAGATCTTGCTTATTGGCTCACATTTAGACTAAGCGAAATAATTGTTATTATGCGAACAAATGTCTATCATTTCAAGGCCCACAAAAAAAAAAAGTCAAGCAACCATCTCATTCATTAGAAGAAACACCAACACTAGCAAAAATAACAACGCTTGCTGTGTGTACGGTGGATTCAAATGTAGAGTCGTATTTTGGTATCATCCCACTGCAGATTTCAAACATCTATGAGAATGCAAAACCAGGCCGTTCATGTAACAAACATGCAACTAAACACCACCGCAGGGGGAACGGGCTCCTCTCTGTTAGATTAATAACCTGATACAAGGCTAAATCGAGCCATCTCTCGCTGTGGTTTTGGTTCTCGCATCTAACTTTTTGACACATTTGCTCATCATTAACCATGTGGCATAGAGTCAACATGTACGAATAGAGGAATCACAATAAGAGCTGTTAGAACATGCAGAAAACAACTGTCAAACATATAAACATATTTAAACAATTTAGTCAAGAAATGTAAGCAATATTTGATAGATACAAAATATGTAATATAAAATATATATAAAATGCATAGTATTGATATGAACACACACACACACACACACAATAATTCATAATACTCTTAATATTAACATGTCAATATTATATCAAAACATATTTCCACATTCATTTGGATGACAAAAAGTATAAAATGGCAGTCATTACTGTAAAACATTTTGATGGTAGTGATATGTACTGTATGACGTCAAATGGTAGCATAGTTTGAGATAAAATCTCCTCACAAAAGTATTTAATCACTCATCTGACAACTATAAAAGCCAGAAGATGTGTTTTTGAACATGGCTGATGTTGTTGAGGTCTGAACCTGTCAGCACAGTTAAATTTGTTAACCGAGCGCCTATAGCACCTGTTCACATGCTGTTTGTGTTGTGGAATAGAGCCAGTGCCGCACCTGTTGCGCAGCTAAATTGTGACCTGACTTCAGGTCATCACAACAGCTGATGGGCTGAGGTCACTAAAGATGATCGGGAGGTGAAATCGAGATGGCTGGCAGGAGGTGTGTGCAAGCGTTTCAGGAGGACAACGGTGCTAACATACACGCTAAACCTCAACGGTGTGAGTTAATGATTGTCGCACCCACTGTAAGCAAGAGAATTGAGGCCGATGACTCATTAATACAGTATTAGGGATCTAAAGATGGTCCGGAAAAATTGTGTGTGTGTATGATGTAATGTGTGAGTTTTCCATCAGTGTCAGAGTGAGTAACTCTAGGACAAACTACTGCCAAAACACATCATCCACATTGATATAGCAATGTAATTTCATCCTCAGATACCTGAAGAGTGTGAACAAAAGAAGAAAATAAAGGGAAGCACATCCTAACTAGGCTCTATCAGGTCCTAACTTCATGGGTTTGTCATTTCCCCAAATAGTGTTGAAAAAAGCTGCAGGTTGCTGCTAAATAATCCATTAAGGCACGTTTACTATAGTTTCACATAGTCTTATGTCTTTTATCCATGTAGAAAACAGTGTAGAACTTATTTTCTTACATATTTACATATAAAATATATATTTTATTTGTAAAAATTAAATAAATATTACACAGGTAATATGTAAATAGTAGTATAGATTATATATATATATATATATATATATATATATCAGTGGCGTTCCGTCCATATAAGCTGCGAATACTCCGCATACCCAGGCTATTTGAGAGAATAAGTTAACAGGATAATTCATATAAACATGATTATAAGTTGATCCCTTGTCTTAAAGAGTTAGGATTAAGTACGTAAAATTATTTATTTGCCAAACGGCAGTAATTTTCTTTAAATCTACCTCTTAAAGAGTTAGGAATAAGTACGTAAAATTATTTATTTGCCAAACGGCAGTAATTTTCTTTAAATCTACCAGTTGCTTCCGGGCGAGCGGATTCTCCGCAGCTTTCTCGCCTCTGCTCTGTTGCTATGACTCGTCAGGATTGTAGCGCGTTCTCAGTTATTTGCTGGTCTGCGGTTGATTTCATGCGCGAGGTAAGCTGTCCGTGAAGCGCTCGCCCAAGCGGAAAAATGTGCAGTTGCTGTCAGATCTCGATTGCCAAAAATCACATCGTGTTTGATGTGACACGACTCGACTAAATCAAAAGAAAAAAAACACTGTAACTGTATATTTTTGTTTTCTCAAGCAAAGCAAATTTTAAAAGTCCACTGAAAACATCTTCTTACATTTCAATCAGGACCACTTTCGTCAAGTATATTTATTACAATTATATTGCATACAGTTAGTGTTGGCGGTATGGTTATGTTCTGGGCAACACTCCACACGCCTGTCCATGCAGCCATGCTTGGACAGAGCGGGGAGAGCAGCAAGACATGTGATAGGTGTCAAGACTGGATTGGTACACGTCAGGAACAGCTGACTGTCGGCTGATGCGAGCTTGACTGACGTGGCCTGCCTGAACTAACGCTATGCTGAATTTTTGGTTATAGACAACGTATGTTGAAGATATACGTTATTGTCAACGTTATTGCCTAAGCGGTAAATTATTTATTTTTTTATAAAAACGTGGGCTGTATAAAATTTTAATAATAACAAACATATTGTTCCCTTTGCTTTGCGTATGCTCGTGTCGCTTACAGTTAAAGTTAGGGTTAGGGTTAGCTAACCCTAACCCTTCTCTGATGTTATTATTGTTTGCTTGCAAGGTTGCAACATTACTTTGCAATATTTTAAATATTTTTGTGTATTTTGCATGGACTGTTATTGGAGTAGTGTCACCCGGGTGGGAGTTTTAACTTCTATTCACTGGGAATAAAAAAAATCATTTAGCTGATGCAGAGAGACATATAGACCAGGGAAATCCCCCCCATCTCCCCACCCTCTGCTTACATATCATAACGTGTAAACGTTATTTGGCAGTTTTTACTCGGAAAACCAGCTATATATATATATATATATATATATATATATTATAGCCTGTATGTAATTATATCCCATGAAAACATTTGCCACACAGTTAAATGGTGAAGCTTACCAAGTTACTGAATATATGACACTAAAATTACCATTTAATAAAGCAGTATATATTTTCTTGAACTGAATAATGCTAAAATAAAAGAAACCACAAAAATTAGATTGCAAATCATACTGTTTCCCAGAAAAAATACGTATATGTATGTATATCATATGTCCCGTAATATCAATTATTTTTTATGTAATATAATAAGGGCCGCATTAAAGGGGTCATATGATGCGATTTAAATTTTTCCTTTCT